GAAATAAAAAGATAAAAATAAATGTGATAGGGGTATAGATGAGATAAACCAATAATAAAAATATAAGTTTTATAGTGGAAAATACAAGAATAAACAATTTTAGTGCAACAGTAAAAGAAAATAAAACAAAAATGTGATTAATATTTAGATATTATGATCTAGATATCAAAAAGATAATGATATATACTAAATATAATCATGTAATGAGATACAATGCAAAAATAAAGAGACAAATTAATTTGATTATTATTGAGTTACATAATGTAACATTTAATGTTCTTTGTAATATATCTTAATTTTTGCTGATTAATTATGAATTTTTTTGATGAAATGGTAATATTACAAATACTTTAGATTATTAATAATTATTAGAATATTTTATTAATAATATAATTTCTTATATATATATATTATTATGATCTTGATAACAATATAATTAATTATAATAAAGAAGTATTTAATTAAAATATAAATTGTTCTTTTATTAATTATATTAAGAATACTTGTCTAAATTCTTTCAGAAAAATATCATTATAATTTGAACAGATTATACACTAATTATTAATTAAAATTTTAACATAATTTCAATTATAATGAGTTTCAAAATTCATCAGAATTTTGACAGACTATTTACTAATAGTTTATTATAATTTCAACAGAATTTTGATAATCACTAAGAGATTTTGACAAGCAACCTTAAGTTATATAGAAAACTCTTATATAATAATACAAATAATAATTCAATCACATATAATAAAAAGATATCACCACATTATATAATTTTAATAATGATATTAACAACATGTTTATTTAAGAAGATGAATATATAGATAATTTTATTGCTATTTTTCACAAATCTTTTATTTTAACAAATTCATTAATTAATGGATTGGATTTAGCCTTTTGTACTAGTTTCAGTACATTTTATAAAATTTATAAAATGTTCAAAAATGAATAAATTTATGTGATTTTGACATTTAAGCATCAATAAACATTCCTTTATATGTTGATATGATTTTCATTAACATCAATAATGTGCTTGATAAAGAAATTGTAATTATAAAATGTGCGATTTTTCAGTATTATAGATATACTAAATATAGTACATCATTAAAATTCATCATGTACCTCACACAAGAAAAAAATTAAACTTGTGACTTTGAAAAATAAAAAAATGGATCTTAGTTTACACATAAAAAAAAAATTATTCAATATAAACTGTTGTATATGTAATACAGATATGATTAATCCAGCAATCTGTACACATTTCCCGTGTACTTGTACGCATATGGCAATCTAAATATCGACGTTGAACATATTTTCCTTTGAGTCGTAAGGTTATAGGATCATCCCTAATGCTAATGAGACGATGCTCGATACTTTCAAAATCCAGCTTTCATTTTTTTTTAGTTCGATCAGCAACTGTTATATCGGAATAGTAGTCAAAGATAGATTTTACTAATTGCTTCCGAAAATCCGTATGTTTCATTTTTTGCTTGCCAGGAACAAATCTATAATATGCAGAGAAGCTGTTTGCCTCTGCAACTGTAAAATAAAAGGCAAATATGCGATCTACAGAGCGTTTTAATTTGAGGATATCGTGATAAGAAGGTGCATTGTCACGTAAATTATTCAGGATGTCTACGGCTGATCTGAATTCATTGTATTCATCGAAAACAATAGGTCACCAAAATTTTACTTCACCATGACTCTTGATATATCGTTTTACTTCCATTCCGAGATTGGTTGTAGAACAACTAGAGAGAACGGCAATATTTTTGCGGTCACGAATTGAGCAGATGGTTAAATCAACACCATTTAATTTTCCGGATCGACTAATGAATGATCCATAGGCATCTCCGAGAGCGTCTGTAATATCGTGGGGAATATTTTTTGGCCAGTAACGACGCTTTTTAAGTTGCAAGATTGAATAAAGTTCTTGTTCATACAAAGTAATACATGTATTGGTACTACCGAATCATGAATTCGCAATAATTGTTCTATCGCTGTGAAATCATGGTTCTGTTAATCATAACACAGTTGCAGTTGTTGATGGATATTGATCAGAGAAATTTTTTTTCATAGCATGTTCCGGAGATTCTACGGGATCTAATTGTAAGAACAAATTAACTTGAGCATCCGCAAGAGTTTTAAATTCACAACCAATTGGATGTGGCTTTCTTGATATCTTTCGTTGAAATGGACCCTTATTGACCTTGCCCATCCATTGACACATTGATTTATCGATACAAAGGTAAGCACCGGGTACAATAGCTTTAATGAGATTGTCGTTAAACACATCATGAAATTGCCGTGCAAAATAAAAGGGGTCATCATTTGCTGGTACATCTGTTAATGCCAAATATTTTATGATGTCCCGAAATCATTTGTGAGACATATATCACCCAAACGCCAGCGCAATCCCACCTGTTTCTGATTTAATAGACCAATAATCGCAGATATCAGTACATTTTACATATGTCATAATCGTCAGAATGCCAATAAAACGCATGAATTCCATCCAAGTTAAGTCATTCCATGTTTGTTCGCATGCGCATGTACATTTATTCGTCGTTGTTATTACTGTTGACATGATATACTCAATGGGTAAAAAATGCTCAAAGAACTGTCTTGGCGATGCATGTGTGATATCGGGGATATTTACGATTGGTGCATTGGAATAGGAACGGAATATTTTACGAGGATCGATGGTGACTACTCCATCCTTCCACAACATATTATTTGTATTTCTGGCAATTGTTGTTTCTCTATTTACGCTTTGGTCGCTATCACTCGAGATATCAGTTTCACTATTAGCTGACTCCTCTGATTTGTTATTTATATTATTTAGATTGGGATTTGGTTCATCATTAGCCGTGGAAATGGCTTCGAATTTCATTCGACCCACCGAGATCTCGATTTCCATCTCTGGCTGGGCATCAAGACTAATTACCCAATGATTAGTACTGGATGCTACTCGTAAAACTGTGACTGAAAGTCGTTTGGTTTTTCACATGTCTCCTAAGAGTGAACGAGCAGTGTTTTCACTCACAACTGAATTCAAAACGGAAATCTTGGCACCTTCTTTGATATTCGGTGAAATCTGTCCCATATTCGAAGTTGGATATAGAAGTCAACAAAAATGGTTCT